TAGGAAAATGAGTCTGGTGATAAGGACAGCCTTGCTGGTTCATCCCAAAGGTGTTGCATGAGGTTGAGATCAAGGGCTCTGTGGAAGGCCAATCAAGTAACTCCACAACAAATTCAGAAAACTATATCCTTACGGACCTGGATTTAAATGGCCGAGAACAAACCATGAAAAACTGCCTCTGAATGAAAGAATGGGCCATGAATAGATGGGTTCATTGCCAGTCCAAGCCAGTTCCAACAAAGCCCAGAGATGCTGTTGGCAGCGCATCAGGTTCAGCTGCACATCTCTTGGCACCCCTTCCTCCTCGGGGGGTCAAGCGAAAGGGAGATGCAGAGTGACGGACCGGACGTTTCCCGGGCTGCAAGGTCAAGCAGATGGCAGCGAAACAAACAGGTCAGACGCCTCAGATGAAATGGCTCAAATAAGAAAGCGCTGACCACACCGTCGGCTTGGAAAGAGCAGCTTCTGTTCAATCATTCAACCCCCCGTATCAAGTGCGACACTGTAAAACAAGCAGCCAAATGGCCAACAATGACTCTGCTGGAGCTGGAACAGCAGTGTTCGCTCAAACAAAGTGGATAATAACTTCCTCTTTCATTGGCAGCGGAGGCCATCATCAGGCAATTTCGCTTTATTCCTGACCAGCTTTAATTATCCTGCAATGAGGCCTGTCATAACCATTACATCATGTAGCAGAGCAGTGTAGCAATCCCAGGGGCAGCATCACAGGCTGAGCCAATGAACTCCCATCTGGTCGCGTAGATGTGACTGATGGCTGAACGGAGTGATTTCCTGCTATATGAATCTGCAGAAAGGAATTGAAGCTGCCGCGCTCGTGTGTGTGTCCAAGAAAATTGTGAAAATGTTGTTTCTAGACATTATGTTCAATGGTCGTATTCTCATCAACCCACACTCACAGGCTCGTTGCGCCAGGCCCCGAGCCCACCCAGCATATCTTGCGCAGTTTTAATGCCACACTGTTTTTCCAGTCCTTTCATTCCCCCCGCACTGCCGATGTTCCCCTCTCCTCCCCGGCACTTATTCTGCCACACGCAGAGCATTCCTCTCCTTGTTCAAACACTGCCTCCAGAAGTTCCTGCCCTTGTTAAAACACTCCCCTCTTCTTTCGCTTTCTTTCTTCTTTCTTTTCTTTTAATTTTCACTCCAACTCTGCATGCAGTGCTCCCACCTCTGGAATGCAGAGGCACTTTTTTTTCTCCAAATTCCCGGGGAGGAGAAAATGATGCATTGTCTGTCTGTCGCTGTTGTTGTCATCACGAACCAAGGGCAGCGAAATTGTTTTGAGGAGAAATTGATTGCGACTCGGTGTTGAAGTTGAGTTGATCATCTTACAGCTCTGTCATTTTGATGTCTTCTTTTTCCTCCTTTGTTTTCAGGCGTATAAAAAAAAGAAAATCTGCCAATAGACTTCATTTGTTCACAAGCAGGATTATAGCTTCAACTGAGGACACCAAGGGCATCTACTCTGTACTTTTCTGGGGATTTCTGTTTGTTTTTGCAACCTGGGGGGCGAGTTCATATTCTACAATTAAATACGTTTACATGGTGGTTGTTTGACAGCCTGATTCCAGTATTCTTGCCCTGACTATACTGAAAGAAATGTTAAGAAATATGTTTATTCACTGTGCTGCTGAGAGTGAGATGGTCTGTAGCAAATATGAAGTTACATCCAGCAGCTGCTAAGTTTAGCTTAGCATGAATACAGGAAATGGGGAAGCAGCTAGCCTGGTTGTGTCCAAAGGAAACTATTTAATCTGTAAACTACTAATTGTTGTTTTTTTCACTTTGGGGTTTTGTTCACTAGCTGTTTCCCCCTGTTTCCAGTTTCTATGCTAAGCTAAGCTAATCATCTCCTTTAGCATACAAATATGAGAGTGGTATGAATCTTCTGACCTAACTGTAGGAATTCATTTAAAACCATTTCCCAAAATGTCAAACTATTCCTTTATTTTTTATTTCTCATCAAAAGCTACATTAAAAAGAGACAGCGGATATTGGTGTCTATATGATGCCTTACTGTGGGGAATATAAAGATGTTTTTACCCTTTCTTCAACAAAATATACCAGTGTGTGCACCAGAGTTAAATATAAAGCTTTGCCTGAATAAAATATACTCTGTTTTCTAATTTGAATAAGGAACTATGTGATCAAAGACTAAGTAAACAAGAATCTGACAAAGCATTCAGTATCAGCTTTCCAGTGGAAACCTTTTTTTGCTTCTCAGCCCTTGAAACTTTATCACAGGTTTGTTTCCTTTGAAGAATTTTACTGAAAGAGATGAGTCCAGCATTTCATGAGAAAAGAGCAAATCTCTGAGACAAACAACATCAAGAGAATTTTGACTAAAGATTTCTTACTCAATGCCTGCTTACTAACTTTTTTTCCTGGAGCTTTAAACTGGTTTTGTTTTGTCCTTCAACTGTTGTATGTGACTGAAGTTCTTTGATCATGTGACGACGAATACAGCCAACTCTCCGACACCCGAGCAAACTCTTTTCTTGCTGATGAAGGCCATGAGATATGGATGAGATTAAGCAGAGTGTCAAACTACTTCCCAAGTCAAGAATGAACTTTGGCTGAGTCCTTCTAGCTGAGGCCTGGGTTCGATTCCAACCCATGGCCCTTTGCTACATGTTGTCCCTGTCAAATAAAGGCAAATAAACCCATAAACATACTTTAAAAACTAGAACTTTGGTGCTCAAAACTTACATTTGTATAACAGGAATATTTTCTCCAATCATCTTGGGATCCCTTGGACCCCAGGCTAGGAACCATTGACCTATGCAATAGACACATTTCAGTCAGGACTTAGTATCTCTCAACCAGATTTGTATATCTGGCTTTATAGTATTAAAAATGGACATATCTTTGTGGTGGTACTCTAAAACCCTGTCTACGACACTGGTTTACACAAGTCTGGGAATTTTCTAGCATCTCAGGCAGAATAAATGACACAAGAAAAAGTCTCTGTGTGCGAAACAAACGCACTTATCTCAACTCATTACTTGGAATTTTTTCATTTGTTGTTCTAAAAACACGATTTTAAGGCTCAAAGGGGATTAACTTGCTACGACAGATAACTCTACATTGTAGCAGAGCTATTATCGTTCTATATCTATACAATTATGGCAGCGGAGCAGCAAACTATCATTACTGAAGAACGAGCTCTGTAACTGAGTAAGAATAGATGTTAGAAGACGCTTCACAAAGCAGATTGGGGAGAGTTTTAAAGATGTCACCACTGTAAAGGAAAATACCCCACAACACACATTTGTTTGAAGATGGATTATACTCAGTCAATTCTCCGTTCGCCTGACGTCCCTTTCCTCTAGTTTGAGATAAACACAAGGGGATTTTTACTGTTTTAGAGGCATTTCTTCTGGCGAATGACAAAACTATTACAGCAAAATGACTTTGTGTATCACAGATGCTGTTAGAGGGAGGAACAAAATATGCTTCTGAAAATCTGAATATCATTAATGAGAAGCTTAGCTGAGAAATACCCGCCCGCCCTTGAGAGCTTTATGCACCGAACGCTTTATGCACCGAAGACCTTGAGTTTGTTCAAGGAAATAAAAACCTTTTGTTGTCAAGTTCACCTCAGGATAGATGTTTAAAAATTAATAATAATGAAATACATTTTAAAGGCTTCTCTGGCAATCAGTATTTGAATCAGGTGACCTTTGCTGGTCTTTGTCCAGCCAGAAATAGACTGTAATTGATGTAGTCCCACTTTCAAGGGGAAAGGAATGACAGTGCGGCTGGAAAAAAAAGCAATCTGAGTCGAGTCAGTAGATCTAACTGTTTGAAGCTTTACGCATTATACAAGTTACACTAAGTGTTAGGATCTGTTTCATCCTGAGAGCTAGATAGTTTTTCACTTCTTTTACAAACTCTAGCATTTGAAGTGTCTGTAAGCAAATGTCAAAAAGAAGAGACATATTTGTGGTATGAAAAAAAAAACACAACCCTTATTACTGCTGCTCTGCTGCCATGCCAGTGGAAATACCGCTACTCTCTCTCTCTCTCTTTCTCTTTCTCTTTTTTTTCCATGGAAAGCTGGATTTGGGAAAGCCTTGCCTCTCTCCTCCTCCTCCAGCCTTCACATCCGGGTCAGTTGGGTTGGTTGGAGCTGGATGGTGCTTTCAGGTGACCCCGTAAACGTATAAACTTGGAAGTTTGGAAGTTGTAAACACATCTCCTTGATGCATTTCAATAATTTTGCCACTTAAGGTTCTTTTTTTTTGCAGTGTTATTTTAAAAATAAGCTTGCACAGAAATATGTCTAGTGCAGTTAGAGTTATATAATGAATGATAATGTAAATTTGTATTGAATAATTGAGTTAGTTTATTTGTTTAAATAAGGCTATACAAACTGAAAGGCACTTTAAAGTGGTGGAACTGCAAAAACAAACTTAAATAATTAAATAAAAACAATTTTCCCGATGATTAAATGACTGCAGGTGATGCAGTTAATTGTTGTGTACATTATATGGATATATGTCTCTACAAAGTTAATTAATCTGTTAGTTAGTCACACCAAAATAGTTATTTATCACACTACAATTAATTTGCAGCTAGATTACTGGCATACAATGCCAGGTAAGAGTCTAAATGTTTCCCAAGGTGTAGGTCCAACCTAATTGCCACATCATCTTTTGACCTTTTTTTAAAAAAAAAATATATATATATAAATATAATATATAATAATTAAAATATTTAACCCATAATGATTGTTAGTTGTTGAATTACTTCCATGCTCCCTCCTACCAATTCAACTTCACGCAAATCCTTCTGAATTTACTTCCTCACTGGGTCGTTTTTGTTTTTTGCATGAACGAACGTGTGACTTCCGATCTTGTAGACGGCCCCTGAAGGCAGCACAAGTTGAGCAGGCTCCTCGCGAAAGGCAGACAGATGATCCAGCTGCTGTGCGCGTGAGTGTGTGCGCTGACATGGATACAACTGGCGTCTACTCTTGAAACTGGACACATTACAGTGTTACGGTGACACCGGGGAAGGGGTGGGGGGGTTGCACTTCAAAAGAGCGACACAAACTTCTTCCACGGCCGCACTCATGTGATATTTTTACCCCCCTTGTATTTTTTGTTTTGGAGCCATGTCCAAGAGCCTGAAGAAGAGGAAGAACCACTGGACTAACAAAGTCCATGAGAGTGTCCTTTGCAGGAATGAGGAGGGGGAGCTGGGGCTGGAGTTGAAGGGCGGCGCAGAGAATGGACTGTTCCCGGTTATCGGCGAGCTTCTCCCGGGCAGAGCGGTGTGCCACAGCGGCAAACTCTGCCAGGATGAACTCCTGCTGGAAGTCAATGATACCCCGGTGGCTGGACTCACCACCAGGGACGTCCATGCTGTGGTCAAACACAGCAAAGACCCCGTCCGACTCAAGTGTGTCAAACAAGGTGAGGTTATGTTTTTTTTTTGCCCCGCAACTTTCCCGCATTTTGTAAAAAAAGACAAAAAAATCTCGGAAACCCGCTTTTTGACACACTTTTAGAGGGTTTGACAGCAGTGCTATTGTCTCCTAAAACTGATACTCTCTCCCTCTCTTTTTCCTCGGTGTTTTTCTAACAAACCGTGCGCACAAATGTAACTTTTTCTGGTGTTTTCTTGTTGTTACACGTCTCCTGTACCCAGATATGAACACTCTTTGCACAGTCGTTGTTGTATCAATATGTTTTACACGGGTTTTGGTTGTGTTGGCAGGGTCCCTGTTGCTATGTGTAGCCTTTTTTTAAGGGGGTGTGTTACATTTTGGGACAGTCAGAAAACACACACGCATTTACGTAGTACGCTTTCAGCCTTGTGTGTGACAACTTCTAACAAATATAATACAGTATTGATGCTGTTCTGTGTAATATTCCCAAATGTCATGCTGCCACAGGTCAAGATTACAGAACGTCCAGCAGCCTAAGTATAATACCACTGACATAAACATTGGATTAGATTAGATATTGGATAAGATTACATGAGATTGCACTTTACTGAATTTGTGCCAAACCAAGCCTGTTTCACACGCACAACAAAAATCAATATTACAAGCAAACTTGTCTTTTAAAGTCCATAAAAATCAATATTAAGTATCCCTGACACATACTTTATACATTTTACAATCACATATCTTATAATCGATGTGTATAGAGCTGAAACAGTCGATTAGTTGAGCAACAGAAAGTCTTCTGTGGTAGTTAAATGAATATTTTGGAGTTTTGGGACTGTTAATCAGCCAAATCAAGAAGTTTGTACCCGCCATCTTGGACATTTTTTGACATTTTATTGACCAAGCAATAAATCAGGAAGATATCTGACCATTAAAGTGGTTGTTAGTTGCTGCCCTGGATGCGTACACGTCTGTAATACTGTAAGGGTAATCTGTGGGGGTTATTTGTATCTGTGAGTTTGCGTCTTTTCTGGAAGAAAGAGAAAATTGCTCTACATTTGCTGTTTAACCTTTTGAATCACATATTTAATTCATTTTTTTTGCAAAGCAGACATTTAAGTATGCAATATTTATTATCCAATTTGTGCTACATTGAGTGGACTAAATTGGATTTGGAAGGGATATTGTATAAATATTAGAGCAAATCCCCAAAAGTCCCTATTTCAACATTATAGAGGTGTCATGAGAAATGAAAAATGCCATAAAGTTGGATAAGGTCACGATTATTGAATGCCACAGACACTGCAGAGAAGGGCCCTCAGGAATATTAGTTTTCTCCAGTGGGAAGTGCAGTGGATTGCCTAAGCGAGTCCTGTGGTTTCCACTGGAAGCACAACGGAGCCAAGACGGTGCTGTCCAAAGACTCCATAGCTGCTGGAGACATTTTTGAATTGCAACACACGCGCAGCAGCCGGGAACACCCATGTTGAAAAAGAGCACGACTCATGTAAACGTGCCCAACTCGCACCAACTCCAAACTTGTCAACTTTTTTTTCCCCCCCTCCTCGCTGCCGCCGGATCCGAAACTCTTATGTCACGGACACACTCCTCTGGCCGTCTGTGTCTTTGATCCTCGCAGCTAATGACACTGGGCGTCTTGCATTGTGAGCCGGGAGACGAGAGGATCTGTGGGCTCTCATTTTGGGGTGAAAAATCAGCAAAACCCTGTAAGAGGCTTTGGATCAAAGTCTTAGTGTGTGTGTATATGTGTGTGTGTGTGTGTGTGTGTGTGTGTGTGTGTGTGTGTGCGTTCAGCATCACACCAGGGATTTATTCAAAAGGCAACCAAGCCTATATCAAACTAATATGTTAGTTTTTTCCATGAAATATTCATATCCTCCAGTGATTGCTGAAGTGATTGATATTTTCCCGCCGCTCGCCTCGTGTTTGCTCCATCGGTTGTTTACAGTGTCAAGTTGTTTTTAATATGGTTGATATGCACATTAGGTAAATACTATGGAGGGGAAACACTGCAGAACACTGTGTTCAATAACAGATATTTTTCACTGTAACTCCTATAATCTGTTTCAATAGATCCCTTATTGAGGAGAGAGAGTCAATAAGCACAGTACAGAGAGTCCGGCCTGACACGTGTTTGTTGGTATCGGAGACACTTTTCTTGCATGATCTACAGAAGTGCTTCTAAAAACTTTATTTAAAATGCTCTGTATGACACATGGAAGCAGATACTGTAGATGTAGAAGCACAACTCTCCTGTTAGCTGGATGAGTGGGGCACATAGTGGGTGGGAATACAGTAACAGGTCCATTATTACTGCATAGACCTGTTTAACTTTGAGAATATTTGTCGGGCTGAAGTGATGCGTTGGTTTATAGATGAGTTAATCAAGACCAAATGAATTGGTAACTAGTTTGATAATCAATGAATCTCTATTTTCAGGCAAAAATGTGCTGCTTTTCTAACTCCTATATGGTATTAAACTGAATATCTTTAGGTTTTAGACAGATTTTCAGAGAAAAAACAAGAAATCTGTGAATCCTAAAGCACATTATTCACTATTTACCCATTTAATTAAGAAAATAATGAGTGAGAATCAGCTTTATTGGCCAAGTACGTGCAGTCATATAAAACAGAAGTAGACATACAGTTAAAAACAAGGACAACAAGGCTAAACAAAGACGGGTAAAAATAAACATGGAACTATTATATACCCATAGGAGAAAAAACAGGTGTATATATATATATATATATATATATATATATATATATAAAGTAACAATAGCCAGAGTCTTTCTGTAAATTGTAAACAATACAAATAATGCAAAGATTCAAAAGAATCATTAGCTGCAACCCTCTATGGCAGATAATGACTCTGACCCCAACAATCTTCAGGGTTTCACCGTGCAAAAATCTGATCCAGAGACAAAAGTGTGGTCAGAAATGTTTGCATTTGCAAATGCATTTACAGTCAGAAGGAGAACAGAAAGTGTTTTTCTGTCTATTTTACCTTTTATCAGCAGAGCTGTTTCTCCATTGTGCCTGTGCTTAATGTTGTTTTCACACTCTGTCTTTTAGATGGCCGACAAATCACTTAGGCAGGCGTCTCCAGATTTAGATAAACACTAGTTATTGTTACAAGAACTGCTAGGCTGTATTACTGTAAGCAGAAAAATGTTATTTCCTCATCCAGGGTCGGTTGTACTCGAAAATGTCTTTCTTTTTATAAGCACAAATATGATTAAAGGATTAAATAACACCCAGCAATAATAATAGGGTATAGTCTTTGAATCCTGAGCACTATTTGTCGACAGCAACAGCAGAAGTGTTCTTGAGTTTAGGTGAAGGTTTTGGTCAAACTCGGACGCTCTCAGTGAACGGCTGCTTGGTGTGAATTGATCCATTTGAGGACGTCATGCTCATTTCAAGACATTTCAAGATGTTTGAGCTTCCCTTTTGCATAACTTATCCTTTATTAACTTCATTAAGAGGAGCCACTTCAAATAGACAAACCGCCAGCAGTTAAACCTAACACCTTTTAAGATACTGGGTAACAATGGGCGAGCTAAGTCCCAATAAAGCAGTCATAAATTCTGCTCTGTTGTCCCCTCCTTCCGCCTCTAGCTAAGGAACGGGGTCACTGACCAGTTTACATGCAAGGTCGATCTCCAAAGGTTGTTCATGGCCTTTTTGAATAATACATCAAGTTCTCTTTCGCAGTGGTCCGCTGCTTCACTATTGTCACAACTGTAAAAGTGCTGTCCCGTTTTTCTTTTGGGAGATCTTGTCCGAATTGCCAACTTCGATTACGATCCTCTCTGTAATTAAAGAAGCCAGACCATGATTCACACTGTTTTTCTGCCATAGCGATCATAAACCGTGTTTACGCATTTAAGCGTGACTTTTCACATCTGAAATCCTAGGGCTGTATCCCCTTTTTACACTCAACAGTGAATTAGGTTTTATATTAGTCTCTGAGGCGAGGATTAGATTAGATTGCCACCAGCAATCAGGTCTGCCCAGTAGGACGTAATTAGGATCTCCACAAAACACTGATGGGTATATAAGAGAACATAGAGCTCAATTACATTCCCAGAGACACAGTGACTACTCATTAGAGCAATACATTATGGATAATGTAAGAAAAGAGCTGAGACTAATTCCTGTGGCTAATGCAGCTGCTGTAGATGTAATGCCGGTACAGGTCCAAGCTGGAATGTTAAACCCTCTCAGAGTGCTGACATACTTGATTTTAGACTTTGAATTTGTGAGTGCAAGATGGCCGTGCAGGAATTCACAGATTCTGCTGGATCGGTATGTGTGCTGTTACTGACCTTTTTAAGCAGATCAAGTTACATACAAGTGATTATAAAAGTCATTGTTTAAGCTTGCAGCTGCGGTTGTTGAGTCTTGGTTGGCCACTATCTCAGTTTTTAGTGCTACAGCGATGCTTGGCCTCATGTTTCCTTATATAATATTATCCATACAGGGAGCTTACAGATAATACGTTTTAGATAAAGAGAGCACTGGTATTGGATCAGGATTAAGTATTTGCAGATACCCTGAGGTGTCGGGAGTCGGTGTTGGGAGAGAAGAAGTCAGATTGGCGGATCTCTCGTATCCTGAGATGCTTCATTGTGCACACACTCAGAAATGAACAGTAGGGGTACTGTGTCAGGGTGGGAAGTAAGGTCAGCACCGACTCGGAACAAAATGACAACAGCAACGGTGGAGAGCCTTTGAGGAACGGATAAAGCTCATTGCTTCTGCTGCCGTTTCTGCATAGCAGCGGGGTCCAACCTTCACCAACGGAATGAAATGAAACCCCCTCATCTTTCCCCAGAATCAGCCTTGAAGACGGTCAAATGTCTTCTTCCTCTACGTAAAGGTCTCTATGTCATTCACCTTTGAAAAGCTTTTAATGTGAAGTGCAGGAAGAAGGTACATTAACAGCAACCTCACACAGCAGATGCAGTCCTGATATGACTCTAGGAGGGTGTTCAGATTTTGGAGCTTCGTTAAGATCAATAGGTTGATCACCAATAAGGAGTTGGGGACCCCCGGCACTATAGTAACCCCCTTGACTGCCGCCTTTATGTTTCTGCTGGACAAAATTGATGGGAATAGAATGATATATTATAGCAGCCAGGGATGATTCAACCCACATGTGCCGCTCAGTGGATATTCTTTTTAATCCTCCAGGTACACACAAAGCATGCTGACGAGTATGTTAACAATGCCACTTGCATCGCAGCCGCCCGCAAAATGGTAAAAAAAAAAAACGAGTATATCAGGAGCGTGACAAATCCAAACCCCTCTTAACTCAGTCTTACCTTGAATAATCTGCGTAGGGAGTAAAAATTCAAACTGTCGCTCTCTCAGCTATTCATAAATATTGCTGCCAAAGCATCAAGATAAATTACATCATATTCCCTGCTCCTTTCCCTCTCTCTCTCTCTCTCTCTCTCTCTCGCACTCACTGAAATGCCCCAGTTCAGCTTCCTATTTCAGCTCCAGTGAAGGATTAATGCAGCCAGCTATGGAGGCTGTCACAGCATCTTTCACTGCCACTACAGTGAGAAGCTCTTACTGTAGCCGTACTTCACTGTGGCTGCGAACTGTATGCTGATTGAGCCTCGCTGAGTGGTGTTGGGTGCAGGTAAGAGCAGACATTTCCAGGTCAGCCGAAGGCAATCACTGTGCTCGCCGGGTGCCCACTTAGTGTTAGCTGGTGTTGGGGAAAGTCATTACAGCAGCCTGAGCAGGGGGAGCTTTGGCAAGGCAGAAATGGCAGCCGTCTTGGCAGTACCTTTCTAGTTTTCAAAGGTTGTTTTTAGCTAACGGCATAGTTCTAGGGGTGGCAGTGTCAGTTGGTCTGAGTTGGACAGATTACCTTGAAATTATTACATTAAGTGTTTTTAGAGGATGGATCTGGTAATTCCCTGACTTTTTATCTATCGTGTCATGTTAGCGCGACAACATGATAACGTTTGAAATGTTACCGGCAAAAAAAAAGAGAAAGAAATGTATATACTTATATTTTTAAAATCATCCAGTAATTGTTCAAAGTTTATTCCTCACCTTGGAAACAGCAGCTGACAGAACAATCCCACTTCACCTACAAGGTGCTTTTAGTAGCTATTCTGGAGCTTTCAGTCATATCACATGATCATCAGCAAATTTGAGGACTTCTCCACGTTGGATTAAAAGTTGAGGCTCACAGTTCATTCTTGACTTAGAAATTGCTGTCAAGGGCGCCCGGTTAGCCTCAGTGGGTGGAGTTGCGACCCATGTACCAAGGGCAGATCCTTGCTGCAGCGCCCCAGGGTTCGAATCCGACCTGCGGCCTTTGCTGCGTGTATCCCCTCTCTCTCTGCCCCCCCTTCTCCGTCTTGTCTCCAGCTGTTCCTATCCAAATAAAGGCATAAAAAGCAAAAAAAAAGAAACCCTGCCAACAAAACACTCAAGATCCATTTAGTAGCTGTTCTGGAGCTTTTGTCAATAAATATATTTGCACTTTAATTTTTTTTAAAAGTGGTAGCTGCAAAGGTTACACTAGAGATTGCACATTGTATTTAAGTGATCTTTTTTTATTTGGTCAGCTCATGAAATGTGAATTCAGCAAACTACAGTGCAGTCATTTTCAGGTGTTTCTGAGATTAGATGGAGGTTGCAAAAGGATACTCAAAAGTATAGATTGTGTTGGGTCTTATGACCTTTATTTTATTTTTGTGTGGCTTATTGAATGCATAACAAATATCTCAAGCCATATATAAACCCAGTACCTCACAGATACCTGGTACTGTATGTAGGATACTTTTCATTGGTTCTCCATCAAGTTTTGCTGAGCTACTTGCTAAGTGGTTTTTCTGCAAAAAATCAGAGCTCCCTTGTAAGATTTAGACAGGCTTTATTGTTGACATTTCAACCAAAACTGGTCCGCCTCAAGTGTTTGCCTGAGGGTTTGATCAAAATGGGGCCAATAAAGCCTAAATCTATACATCTAAATCTAATTCTAATAAAAGAGCTGTGATTCCACCTCCCTGTTTTGCTCATAATACTCAGATCTTTGTATCCAGCTCCTGTCTCACTTGTGCACATGTTTCTTTGCCATCTCAATAAGATTTCTGTGCAGTGACTCTACCAACACAATCATTTGATTTAGGAAAATAACATCAACTATCACAATGTTTATTAAAATATTGCTCATGAAGAGATTGTTCTTGCTGTTCTAGCCCTGTTTTAATTCTGATTTAATCCTGTTTTTTCTATCTTATGCTGTCTTATTCTCCACTTGCAGCCAGACCAGGAATACTGTGCACGACCCCGGCCCTTGCATCATGATGTCTCAAGTCCTCTTTGAGCCTCCTATAGCAATACTGCTCATGCAACGGTTGAGTCACTGTCTTGTGAACTGCATGCTGTTAGGCTGGAAGCTGTGTTAGTGCAAATGTAGGAGAAAGTCATTTATATCAGCTGGTGTCATCTGAAACGGAAGAAGGTTAGGGTCAGCCGTTTTGTGTCCAAAGATGAACTTGTTTTGCAGACAGGAATCTTCACCATAAAAACCCACGCAACAAAGACACAATTCATAAAACAGCACCACACTAGCTATCCAGTACAGCTCAAGGGAAAACCAGTATGTTATGATACTATCAAGTCAATGGCGCGTGCCCGAGTAATGGAATGATTGATGTGAGAGATGATGAGTCTAGACTGGTCACTGGTCTGTTGGGGGTTTGAAAGATGGGACGGGGCAATCCCTGAGAAGTTGTGTTGAGTCAGACACACACTGTTGCGTGGGAGTGCGTTAATGATTCTCAGTACAGTCAGACCCATCTGTCTTCTTGTCAGGGTCCCATTGAGAGTGTTAAGTTGCACCAGCAAGTGTAACACAGAGAGTGTGATACACAGACAGACTCACACATACGCACACAAGGAGCCGCTATCCTGCAGTATGTGTGTATGTTTGTGTGTGTGTGTATCAGTGTGTCCCCGGGGCCTTTGCACCACTTACCACATGCTGTCCAATCATGCCTGACAGAGGTTTGGTGGAGAGATCCTGTTGTCGTTGCCTCTGTTACACTGTCTGACTGCCAGGCTCACCTCTGGGGACAGGTAATGATAAA